TGCCACAAGGGAGAAGTAAACTAATATTGTTGCTTTTTCTTCTTTTTTTTCCATCCCCACCAAATGGCCATCTTTTTAGTCGCAGGAGGCATCTACCCACCTCCATTTCTGCCTCTCCCCTTTGATCACAGATTCTATTTGATGCTGCTTGGGTCTAAAATAACTCTTCTTTAGCTTGTCAATAACTGATGCTAACTCTGTTATGTTAGCTCCAGCCCAGATCACAGTGTAGAGAGAGAGAGAAAAAAACACTTTCACAGTTTGACAATTTCCCTGCAAAAGGGAACAGGGCCAGTTTCGTGAGGTAGATTTCGATAAGTTTTTTGTCTTTGTGTCAACTTGAAACCACTTCAGATGATTACGTGAAAAGACTTCTAAACACAGTTGAACCAAACCAGTCAATAAGCAGGGGTCTCATTTATAAAGGATTGCGTGGAAACCATATTAAAAGTGAACGTACGGCCAAAAGGCGGAAATGGCATATGCCAAAAAATTTCAGATTTATAAAACCATGCATACGCACGTTTCTGCGCATCTTTCCTTTATAAATCACAGCCGCATGTTAGAGTTTGCGCACGAGGTCCCGCCTCAGGTTCTACCCTCTACAYGCYCACATTCAACCATAAACAGTCAATGCAAAGTACCTCATGAATGTTAAGATGTATTTAAATCAGTCAGCTGATCAATGCCAACAAAAGTGATTGGTTCAGACACGCTCCGTCGTGCGCCTGGATGATGACAGGGGCTGACTGACAGCTGCTCACGTGAACAGATTGTCTGTAATTGACACAGATTTTCCCTCATTTTGCTTTAGAGTAATCTAAGGATTTTTATAAAAGTACTCAGCTTCAAATTAATTTTCTCTCAGAGCCTGCAGGATGATAAAAACAATAAAAATAAATTAAATGTCAGATAAAATTAGAAATAAGTCCACCGCTCTTCTCCTCGTCCTCTCCCCCTCCTGCTTGCTCTGTTATCCGCAGCAGACACCCCAGCCCCACGCGCACACACGCACGCATCCCAACCCACTGAGCGCGCGACAAATACGGACTTTAAACGTGAACTTTTATAACATACACACTGGCGAGGTGGATGCGCCCTGCGCGTGTATCCAAAGCATGACTTTTGCTGTCCTGTTGTTTTTGTCGGGGAGGGGCCTGTGGGTCAGGGAGGGGTCTGTGGGTCAGGGTCGTGAGGAGGAAGCAGATGAAGGGATTTGCGCACGGGAACTTTCATTTAAGATTTATGTTTTTTTTATTTCAAAGGTCCTCGTGGCTCAGCAGCAGAAGCATATTACTGTTAAGAAAGCTGATGATAAAGTTGAATAAATATCTAAGTCTGATACTGAAGGTAAATTAAATATCTGACAGTGATCATTACACAGTGTGGCTCTAATTCCTCAATTCACCATCTGTGTCGCAGTTTCACGTCTCCAAAATGAGTGTACGCATGGGTCAGAGCTGGAGTGAGGCACCGCGCATTTTCACGTCAAGTTTGGATTTTATAAATCACAACCTTGGCGTAAATAGTGGCGTACGCAAGTTTCTGGGCTCAAATTGTGCGTACGCCAGTTTTATAAATCCGAACCCAGGTCCTTCAGTGACGTCCAAACCGTTCATTTTCTGTACTTGCTTTTTATTGTAAGGAGCAGAAGATCTGAGCTGATTGGATGTGATGTATAATTGTGTGCATTTTTTTTAGACTGAATCTATGCGAGTGCTTTTCAATATTCTTTATCACCGCTGTAACCCATTTCAATTATATGAAACTCAGGGTACCTGCAGAACCCTAAAGTCTTAAAAGGCATTGAATTCATTAATCCAAAAATAAGGCCTTAATTAGCCTTAAAGTGCCTTGAATCAATCTTATACAAGTCTTAAAAATGTTAACACATAAATAGGATGATTGTAATTCATCTCAAATATTAAAATAATTGGTAAAAATTGTTTTTTTAATATTCACATGCAGACATTCCCCTTTGACATCATTTCCTGTTATTTCACATGCAAATATCTCAACAGCTGTCCATCTGAGCAATGTGAAATTTGTTTTGTAATATGTTAACAATGTCTTTCCAAAAATGCATTCACTTTTCTTACAAAAAAAATTCACGTCACGGGCACTTTATGGTTTCATCTACAGCAAATAGGGGTTAAGACCCCACTGTGGGTCCTAAAACTCCAAATTTTGGGTTGTTAGAGGATTTCCAGACAATAAATTAAGTTTAAAACTGACTGCTAAGAACATTTCTGCTATAGTTAAAAATACTTTGATTCGTGAGTTTTTGACTGTTTTTATTTATTTATTTAGTCATTTGTGTTTATTATGAAATTGGTCATAAACTTAATTTCACAATGGCATTAAAAAGTCTTGAATTTAACTTGCTTTAAACTGAAGGAACCCTGAAACTATTAATTTTAGTTTATAAAACTAGTGCTTAAAGTTACCAGACAGACAGATGTGGAGCATTTTTGTTTGAAATTGTTCTGGCATTTTTTTTGGACTTTTTATTGTATTTACAAATAAATTCACATTAATATGCCAAAAGGTTGCATTCATATACTGTAAATCCATAGCTTTCCGTTTCTTCTTTTCCCGTCACCCACCTGCAGCACAGACTTCAATGTTTGGATGGGAGAGAGAGAGAGAGAGAGAGAGAGTTTAGAGGAGGAATGAGCAAAAAGCAGAGCTGTGTTTGCCAGCCGGGTCACGGCAACCCCCCTCCTTACATCAAAGCTGTGCCGGCCCACATCCTGTCACTGACCTCTACCCCCCCCCCCCCTCTGTAGTTCAGTGCGTGGCTCAAGTCTGCTGCAAAGGCTTTCATTCACTCAGCTGTAGCCCTGTAAACCAAACAACTAATGATGGATTGCATAGATGTTAATGACAGATAATCTGCCTCTCCTTTAGCTGAGGAGCATGCCTGAGTGATGAGAAACCTCTGAGTCATCTGAATTCGTCTGTCTGGTTTTAGTTTCTAAGAATGCGAGCAATGTTTTTGGTGCGAGTCGTGTAAGCGTGATTGATTAAAGTGTCTTTTCTTTTTTTCTTTTCTTTTGTTCCGCAGGAGGAAAACGGAACAACTTCTCCACATGCAAAGCGAAGGCAGCAGCTACGGGCCCTCTGCTAGAAATGGAGGCCTGTTAAGATTCCACGAAGACCTTTTAAAAGAAAAAGTCTCCGAAAACTGAAGCCTCCAGTTCTCAAAGGACCCCTCTCTTCCCCAATCCACACTGCTCCTACTCTACTGCTCCCCCCCACCTCGTCACGTTCACACGCCATCACCAAAAAAAAAAAAAAAAAACTGAACAAGACAATCAGGACTTTGGAGGAGCACCGTCACGTAACCTCACCCTCACACCGAAACCCCTGGGATAAACAAGCAAACAAAATAAACCACATCACTGTTTCGTTTTCCTTCAAATATCAGCTTTACTGCAATCGAGGGCACTGCACTGAAAAACGAGCAGCAATTGTGATGCGTGCACAGACTTCTTCCCCGCACCGCCCCAACACTCCCAACACCTGTCACTAAGTTATTATAAGTTATTTGTCACCTGTTCCTTTTTGTATAGTTCATAAGGTCGACATTCAGTCTACCCCTAAAACCCCCTCCCTCTTCTTCTCACTGGATTTTTTGTTTTTGTTTTGTTGTTGAGACCATTTTGGGGGTTTCACCCGACCGACCAAACGCCTCTTTTTAGACTGCACTAAGGAAGACGGAGGGATCTCATCTTGACTTAAAAAAAAAAAGAACAAAACAAAACGTCCTCAAGACGCCGGATTAAATTTGTCACTGACCAAGTTGGTGCAAGAAAAAATAAAAAGAATGAATCAACATTTCAACTTTTTTTAATTTTAGACTGAATTTCATTTTGAATGCTTTTTGTTTTGTATCTTGTTTCATTTTCTCGGTGTATATTTTAGTGATTTTTTTTAATAGTGGTATATATAAAAATAAGCTTTGGACAAAAGAAAAGCCATTTTTTTTCTTGTTGGAGCATCTTGCAGAAAAATCAAAACTTAAGGCTTTTTTTGATAATTATTTGTAACAAATAGTGACCTCGAGTCTTGCTCCGATGTAAAATAATGCTCAGTATGTGTACTTTTTTAAAATAAAACTGTCAGGATATGTTGGATTTTTTTCTGGATATTTTTGCAGGTTACATTAGGACAAAGGCAGGAGTGTCAGCTCAGAGGCCTATATTTTATTGTTCTAAAACATGACAAATGAAGCAGATATATATATTTACCCCAGCACTTGACAGTCTTTTCTTTTATTGCGATGGACCTTTTTATTTTGTCTTTTTCCTCTTTCTGGTAGCTAATAGTGTGGTCTTTAGCCATGTTGTTTATTCCACTCCAACATCTCTGTAACATTTTAATTTTAATGCGCTATGTTAGTATTACTTGATGATTTTTTTTTTTTTTTACATATTCTGGGTCACTGTAATCTTGGAATAGCATTTTGCTTGCCAAGTGGTCATATTTGAATTGTTTTTATCATGTTTTATTTTGTTTTTTTAAAGAAAATAAAAAGACACCATTGGCTCAATGAGTTCATATTATTTAAAAACGTATGTATACATTTGAAATTGACTGATTAGTCAAGATCAAAATAAATTTCTTAGTCTGATTCCTGCCTCTTGGGGCCCATCATGTCAGCGTTTTTGGTAAAATAGCCTCCTCTTGTGGTTGTATCCTGTTAAGCCACATTTAGCTCATCAATGAGCAACTTTTCCCCCCTCTCCCCAGACTTTTTTTTTTACTTAAGTGTTCATGTGAACAGTATTTAAAATGTTTACAAAGCTGTCCATTTCACATTATGCAGATTACTCTGGCCCCAGGCTGCAGTGCAAGTGCTACAGCTAGCTGCTGCTCGCCAATAAGAATCCCATGTAATTAAGGGAAGACTGACTGTCGTCTAAAGGTTTATTTCAAAATAGTTATGCTGTTTTTGAGATTTGAATTCTTTTAAGACAGCAGCAATCTTTGGTCTGATAAGCTGTTAGCTCATTCATTTAGTCAGAAATTAAACTCTCCAAACTGAGGTTGTTCAACAGGTAAAATTAAAAGTTTCATAATTTTTCCACAAAAATCCATTAATCTGACCTAACACTATACTTGTGTTTTCAATTTTCAAGATGCTAAAGGACAAATGGATATAGAGCAAGGGCCACCTTTGGTCTTTGAAATATACACTCACCGGCCACTTTATTAGGTACACCACGCTAGTAACGGGTTGGACCCCCTTTTGCCTTCAGAACTGCCTCAATTCTTCGTGGCAT